AGGTTTTCAATGATGATCTAGCTTTAATCGACTCATGAATTCAACTCTTAAATGATTTTTTGTTTATTATGAGTAGATAACTTCATAACTGGGCTTCTCTGCCATGTGTTTATGTGAAATTAGTCTGATACTTGATTGGATTTTATTTGTATCTAGTAATTAGTCTTAATACATTTATTAAGATACAAAACTATTCATGCTTATTCATTGTAGTTTATGCCACATAATCATTCGATATGTGCTCTGATTAAAAAACACACACATAACGAACCTGACTATTAGTATAAAATGGAAACGAAACCTAATTCTTTTGAATCTTCTTTTGTCCAGTGATCAAGTTGTTGTTTGTGTCTGTTTAATATTTGAAAAAAGTACTTATCTTTTTATTTATATATTTAACCCTATATATTTAATCTCAATAGATTACAGACACTATAGTATAGAGGGGAGCTTAAAATAATCACGATGAATTTTCAGCGAGATCATTACTTACGTCTGTCACCTCTCGTAAAGGAACATAGACCGCCTACCAGAATTATGTATTGAACTATGTCTTGGGTGATCCTTTCCAGTTGTTTCCGGTTGCTATTCATTCTTGTGATATCTGTTAGATCCAAGTCAGTCAGAAAACAACTTTCAATACAATGAATAATTTATAATAATATTTCAGTATAAAGAAGTTTATACATTATGTCTTCTACAGGTTACTCCGTCTATTCATTGTTTCAATTTCCTCATAAAATTTGTACCTAACCCTAGCTAGAAACAATGTGAAAACTGTCAAAAGTCTGCTTGAGTCATTTAAAAAGTTCGAGGAAATCAACATTCAATATGCATTAGGACGAGTTTATGTGTCGTAAGTAGACATATGTTCCATTTAAATATTAAAAACATGGAGTTGAGCGAAATGATGTGTTTCCTACAAATTTACTGTCACGTTGTAAAATAGTATAGTAATTAGGGTTCGGTATTTAGGACTAGAATGAGAGGTTAAGGGTTAGGGTTTTTAATAAGAAAAAAAAACTAGCGTTAGCTTCAATGTGGGTAGATGAATTTCGCTCAAAAATACAAGGGGAACTATCTGATTAGTTTGTTCATAAAATCTGGTACCATCAGGTTAAGATTTGTTCCAAAATTAAGAGTTTAAGTTTAGGATTTCGGGATAGTTTCAAGTTGCCTGTTGTATACGATTTAAAAAAAAACATAATTAAGCATCTAATACGTTTAGCACCATCATTTTTACTCTATAGTTACAAAAATAATTTTCGCTATCATTGTAAACGTTTTGAGCAATGTAAAAAGTATTTCTAACCTTTGTTATACATTATATTTGAATTTTCCGTAAAACCTCAAAAGTCGCATTCTCTATCCTGATTGGTTCCTCCCTATATTATACTTTTATACAGTCATGTCCGTTGCGTAGAGGTAGTTGAAAATGAAATCTGGTTAATTTTACCGATTTATGACCTAGTTCAAAACTTTCTAGTATCTCGGGTGAGCGCTTGACCTTTAGACCACTAATTTGGTAATCACTGATTTACATTTTTAACCTGAATCAATTAGCAATATTGCGTAACCATCTTTCAATGTCATTGGCGATTCTAGTGAGAATCCATGACCAGTGTAGTTCAACCATACCAAATGTGAGTCAGTTGCCAACCAATGGCATTAGATGGTTGGTATAGGGATTAAACACTCAACTCTAGACTTGAAGTTCTTAAAATCGATCTTCTATAGGGTCGTTCATATGCTTCGACAATGTTTACCCACAATCAAAAGGTCTCATAAGCCATTGTATTTGCTCAATAAAAAACAATCTAAACTGGAATGAAATAATTATCTAGTACTGACTTGTCTTCACACATGGGTTTAATTTCAAGATGAAAATTACATCTATCACATTGGCCAATAATATTTGATTGGCACGAAGGATTAGACAATCATGATAATAAACTCCTCTATACAATTACTGTTTTGAAGACTAAATGAAACATAAATTCACTTGTTACTGTTTGTTTGAATCTTCCCATTGATGCTTAGGACTGCAACTGGTTAGTCTCTTATTAGCATATGTGCATACTGTGCGTATTGCCTCAATATAGCCGTAATTCACAAGCATTATAAGGAGAGATGGATAGTGATTAGCAGTGGAATCCAGTTTGACGCTCGTTTCGTCCTATTTGGGACTCGTCAGCTAGATGTACCTGTATCTCAGAGTTGATGTTCACTCTGGGCTAATGCGATGGCATTTGAAGCGAAAGGTACTGTGTTGGAGTCCCAGAGTGAACATCAACTCTGAGATACAGGTACATCCAGCTGACCGGTCCGAAATAGGAGGAAACGTGTGTCGTGGATTCCACTGCTTGTCACTATCCATCTCTCCTTATAATAAATGAAACATAGTTTTAAAGTGGAATTGTCAGTTGTTTTCCCTAACTTCTCGTCCTATTTAAATGTTTTTATAAATTACAGTGTAACATTTATTATATCATAAGTTTAATCTTAGTATAAATTTATTGTTAGTTATTTCACAGATCAATTGGTATAACAGTACTCCGAAAATTCAGAGGTTTATCATCTGAGTTAAATCACAGTTTTTTACTCATTTATCGAGTAAGAATTCGTGTACTTGACTTTGAATCCCACTCTAAATGGGAAAAAATAGTGATACTACTCAGTGGACGAGAAAAACCGGAACGAGGGCTATATTCATACCTGTGACTTAGTGGTTTAAAACCAAACTCCTTATCTACTGGACTACTCTGTTATTTGTATTTAAAATAATATTTATTCAGATTTCTTCTGAACTGTAAATTTTCTACATAGACGTATTCTTTTTTTACATATTCAATCGTTTTATACATCGATCTCATCCTCCATAATTACACAATATTTTTTATTAACCTTTTTTATTAAAGGTTACAGATAGTTTTGAAAATTAACAGAAAATTTACAGTGTCTTTCAAATTATCTTATCAGTGGAAGCATCATCGATGAAAAAGGAGGATCAGATGCACACGTAAAGGCGAGGATTGGCAAAGCAAGAGCCGCATTCCTACAACTGAAGAACATATGGAACCCAAGTAACTGTCTGTCAACCAATATCAAAGTCAGAATCTTTAATACGAGCTGGAACTTGGAGAACTAATATAACCATCATCAAAACAGAGGAAGTATTTATAAACAGTTGTCTACGTAAGATACTCAATATCCGTTGACCGGATAACATCATCAACAGCCTACTGTGGGTAAGGACAAACCAGCTTCCAGCTGAAGAGGAAATTAGGGAAACACATTGAAAGTGGATGGGCGCAAGTAAGTAAGTAGACTAATAATCTCTTTAGATTGAAATCATGAATGGATAAATTTTATACCACCATTGAAAACCTGGAAGCACTGGACGGCCGTTTCGTCCTATTGTGGGACTCCTCAGCAGTGTGCACCCACGATCCCACCTCGCGAGATTCGAACCGAGGACCTATCAGTTTCACGTGCGAGCGCTTTAACCACTAGACCACTGAACTGGCCAGCATCCAACGGTATTAATGTCTAACTTCAACCAATCCACGAAATTGAGCAACTGTCCACCATTGTCTTCAGTGAGTTGATATTTCCCAACAGACTTGGTTGAATTCCACTGGTCACTGTTTCTCACTAGAACTCCAGAAAATACCTCATGGAGCCAGTCACCAGTGAGCATATGTTTATTATTATCTGAAGGAGTTTTGTGGATATTATTGTAATTTTGATAGTTGAGATCCATAATATTATAATAATATAGTTGAGTCCCATAATAGGATGAAATAGTCATCTAGTGCTTCTAGGTTTTCCTTGGTGATCTAGCTTTAATTGATTCATGATTTCAACTATATAAAATTACAATGATATCTACAAAACCCCTTCAGATAATAAAAATTATATTTCATGGGAATTTTTATAAAAAAACATTAAATCTTTTTTTAAGATTTAACTAACAGTATCCTTTTAATCATTACAGACTACTCTTACTACTAATATTAATCAATCTACTTTAATTTCTGTTTTGTTAAATTAATTAGCCAATTAACTAAGATACTAAAACTATGGAATAAGTTACATGCATCATTAATTAGATAAATGACTTCAGAAAAAACAAACAACACTGACTTGTTTACAAATCTCTACAGCATTCAAAGAATCGGCTTTTTTTAATTTCGACAAAACCTCTTCTGAATTATAAATATGATAGAAATAAACTAAACACAAACATTAATCTCTGTTCAATGTGTGCTTGTTCGTGTGTGTGTGTGTGTATGTGTGTGAAAAGAATAACATCAATGAAAATATTAATTTAATGAAGCATTAAATTACTTTTCATATAGATTATTTGAATTCCACCCCCCACCCCCCACCTCCACCACCACCACCACTATGAAAACAGTGTTTTTGTTTTTGTTTTTTAATGATTTTTGTCATAATTTCAAAATCTTATAAAATATGTTTCCCTTTTTTTATTTTTAGAATAGTATAACCCTTATGGATAACAGTGCATATATATAGGAGAAAATAATGTTTATATATTACATAATTTCGTAATGAGCCTATAATATTTTCCCTAATTAATCATAATCATATAAAGAAGTCAGTACAAGAATATATCAACCAAATTATTATTATTCCTTCTCATTACAGGAAACAACTTGATTTGTAGTTGTAAAATGAAGAGTTAGGGATACCGTTTGTTTTTCATTCTTTAATTCATTGAAAGAAAAAGAAAGATGGGGAGATGAGGGGTGCATATCATACAATCTAATGAGGACCCTATTATTATTATTATTATTCAATAGAGCGTGATTTGAGTGCAGCTTAGAATCCGAATGTTACGTCATAGGAAATTTGATTTGAAATGACTGTATAATAATGATAATAATAATAATAATAGGCTCTTTTATGTTTGATGTTTGATTATATTTCCTTGAAAAAGGTTGAACCAGATTGCCAGGTGAAATGTTGGATTTACTTCAAATTCACTTCGCTGAGATTTTTCACAAATATACTATTCCTATTTAATGTGTCTTACATCAATTCGGCGCCCAAATACTATGAAACTATTCGCTCTAATTTGGACGAAAATTCTTTTATTGTTTTGTTTTTTCTTCCTAAAATCAATAGATGCAAACAATTTTGATCATTTTAACCAGCATAAAACATATTTGGAAAGGATAGTTTGTTTTGATGAATTTGCGTAGATTAGTTTTCTTTGTGAAGAAGTACCATTTGGAAGTACAATGAAATTACCAGGCATATGAAATAAAGTATAGTTCAAGATATTTGAAAAGTTATAATCATTGTGTAGTATCTAGAAAAAAAACAGTCATAATAATGTATTACTTTTCAATATGAGTTTGTGGAAATTGTTGGATTTCATTGAAATTATGAACCAATCAATGTTAGTCCATCATTGAAAATCTAGAAGCACTGAATGGCCATTTCTTTCTAGTATTGAAAGATAGTCATACAATATAGTTAATTAGTTGAAGTTGAACATAAAACCCGTTGGATGTTGACTCAGTGGTTTAGAGGTTAAGTGTTTGCGCACGAGACCGAATGTTCTGTGTTCCATTCGCTTGTGCATGAGTCACATACTAGGACGAAATGTTCATCCAGTATTTACAGGTTTTTTGCGGTGGTCTAACATTGATCGGTTCATGATTTCATTGTAATTCATTAATGTTGACTTTTACCGTTTTCAATGGAGCTCGTAGTATAAAAATAATTCATTATATGTCTATTAATATAATTATGGATAGTGGTAATTCAAACGGGGGAAGGGAAAGTGTGATTTGTACGACACAATAGAGGAAGGTAAAACCCTTCAAAAACACAACAACAACTATATTGACCAAATACTTTTTTCATATGCCTATGTCATAAGATGACTAGTCAATCAATATAAAACATAACTGAAATATTGTGAGTACAAAAATTGACTTACTACCGAATTACTACTAAACGATTTATGTATGTTATACTGAATAAATATTACACCGAATAAGTATAAAATAGTGTTATATACATATAATACTAAAAAAATATTGAATTCATGGCTTTTTGAAGTTATGTAGTGTGTACGACACTTCTTCATGTCAGATGAACCAGATCCATGAGTAATTTATATGCAATATATAACTGGTGGATTGTTTTCGTTTGACTCTCGACTTGGTTAATTCTACAAGTCACAAGTGATCAATTTTGAGAAATAACTAACGAAGTTCTAATTAGACAACATGATCAGTCGAGTCCAACCTTTTCAAATTTGAGGAAACTATCTACCCAAAGAATTGAAAGATGGTTGTATAGTATTGAAAATCAGCTAATGTTAGAAGTTTAAGTACCTAAAATGCAAACCCTATGGTCTAAACGTTAAGCTCTCACTTTGAGGTCCGAAGGGTTTGAACTCGACCTCTGTTGAAGTATTGGATGTGAACCGTTATAGAATGTCCACACTAACTGTTCTCTGTATCTTGATTTTCAATGGCTTTTTTCAGCTCAAACTAATCCATAATGTAAACTGTATTAGAAAAATCTTTAAGTTATCATTCATCACTAGAATTTTATTGAAATCTATGTCAAAGCTACTGAACACCATACATACGATTACGTCATGACTAGGAAATTTTAGGCCTCCAAATGCCCTGGTACGGCCGAGAGTGAAGACAGTTAGCCCTCTCTCTCCAAATGCTCTCACACAGCCACTTATATACAGCCACCATCAGAGAAGTCCTACTCACTATCTTTTCACGACATCACTGTTGTTTAAGAAATTGAGAGGTCGAAAAGCGAATGTCCGGTGCTTTAACCGGGTTAGTGGATATAGAGGATCCACCTAGAAGAATTCGAAAACCCTGATTCCAAATCAATGGTGCATATAGGCTCCAGCATCCTGATGGAACAAAAGACGTATGAACCTACTTTTGATCACTGATTAACATGAGACTGCATCTCCTAACATTGTTCCACTGACTTGTGGATTAGACCTATAGGTCAAAGGTTGGGGGTAGCCCTCTAACAAAACGACCTACTTCGATCTGGGTGTCCGTGCAGTATCAAAACCCATACACAAATCAAGTGATTTATGTGGTGTAAATAAACTGTATACCAAAGTTAGATGTTAACTAAATATCATAATTTATTCAATAATAATAGTTTCTACTCTTTCTTTTCACAAGCATTCCATAATCAAAAAAACACTCATAGAGATTTTTATATGTTTGAGATCATGAGTCAATTGAAACTAGACCATCATGGAAAATCTGGAAGCACTGGATGGCCGTTGCGTCCTATTATGGGACTCTTCATCGGTGTGCATCCACGATCGCGCCCCACGAGACTCGAACACAGGACCTACCAGTCTCGCGTTGATTTTTTCTAGGAATACTAATTATTTTTATCTTGTTTCATTCTCTTTCTTTCATTTTAAGAAATTTTATTTTCATTATCTTAACGAAAAAAAAGAAAAAATATGAGAAGTGTCAAATTTAATTAGGAAGAAAATTATACATTTTGTGTTTATCTATCTAAATAAATAATATTATTATAGACAAACAAGTGTGTAAACAGACATTACAGACATAGACATACACACACACATACAGTTGAAAACACACCCATCTGAAGTGTTGATGATGATGATGATGATGATGACGACGACGATATTGATGAGTTAATTAGATTTAATGTATGTAATTTACTTCTGTTGAAACTAGAAAAAAGAAAATGGAATGATTAATTTCTAATTATGATTGTAATTGGGGGTTTTCTGTGGAGATTTTTAGTAATTTTTATGTATAATTGGAACCATGAGTCAATTGAAGCTAGATAATCATGGAAAACCTGGAAGTACTGGACGGCCATTTCGTATTTTTGTGATTGAATGCCGGATCAGTGGTCTAGTGGTTAATCGCTCGCGCGTTAGACTGATAAGTCCTGAGTTCAAATCTCGTGAAACTGGATCGTTGATGCGCACTGCTGAGGAGTCCCACAATAGGACGAAACGGCTATCCAGTTCTTCCAGGTTTTCCATGGTGGTCTAGTTTCAATTGACTTATAATTTCAACTATAAAATTACTAAAATCTCCACACAAACATCCTTCTAGAAATCACTATTTCTTTAATAGTTCTGGTTAAAGCTTCAAAATTAATCATTGGAGTCAAATAAAATACCATGATTTTTTAAAATGTTTAATCAAAAATTCTTATACATACTACTCAATAATCTTTATATGAACTTATCTATTATCTTATACTATCAATAACTATAATATACTTAAATGAAATACATAGAATCTGTTTAATAACATTCCATAATCTGTCATGTTTCACCCTTGGGGTTAACACAAACTTTATATTTGTATTCATTCGCTACACCTTCATCTTCGGTGATTATTTTTAATCTATCTATCTCACACCTATTTTATTTCATTTCGACATAATAAATATATAGACACATAAATCCATATGAACACACTTACAAAGGGGGTGATATCGAAAGGAGATATGTAGAAGTTTGGATTGTATACCTGTATTGTATATCTATCCATATGTATCCATTTTTTTTTCATATAGATATCTACTATTTGTTTTCTACTTAAACTAATTATCTCTTAACCACTCTATTTTTTATTACTGGTAGGAAAAAAAAGTGAACAAACAAATAAACAAACAATGAAATTTTTTATGGGTGAAATCATAAGTCGAACTAAGCTAAACCATCATTGAAAATCTAGAAGTATCGGACGACCGTTTAGTTTTAGTATAAAACTACCAACAATGTATATTCACGATCCCATACATGGGACGCGAAGTGAGGACCCTAAGTCTCGCATGCGAATGCTGAACCTATATACCATTGTGTTGCGAGGTCAGTGAAAATTGTTTAAAAACAATACTGAACAAAATATATCTGTAGTATTGTAAAAACAGGGTATTTGATTAATTATTCAAGTTTAGATTGACTAAAATAACAATCCGAGATAATACCATTGGTTGAGTAAACATGACATTACTCACTACTGAATGGTTAATCAGTTGTAAATATCTTAATCCTACAGATCAGTTGAAGCCTAAATAGCTAATTGTTAATATCTTAATATGTGGAACTGGATAATACAGGTTCGATTTCACCAGGAAGCATCAGTTCCCTCAAGAGTATAGATATATTTGCCAAATAATATGGAACATAGGTTCAGTGTATTCTGTCAATTATCTCCAATGAACTGTCATTTCAACAAAGTTTACGCAATATAGCGTTATCTATACTAATGACCACACTACAACTTGATCAGCAGGATTCAATCAACATTAAAGGATTAGATAAATATGATATTAGTCACTACTTATTAATCAATCAATTATAGAACACTAATAAGTAATGTGTATAAATACACTAGTAGTGTTTACTTAATTACAATAATTAATCCCATTTAGTAGTATAATCACTATCAATATTCTATTTGATCCTTAGTGCTAATCTAATCTCATTAATCAAAAATGATAACTGACCTTTACTAAGAATCATAATATTCTCATATCCACATTATTACTAGACTCGAATTCATATTCCAAAGATATTTATAATCGGAAATTCCTTCCGTTATTATTATTATTATTATTACTATTATTACCAGATTAGTGTTTATTTCACCCTAGACAGTAAAATCCGCAGAAAGTAGAGGGTAAAACTTTGGGATACATATATCTATGCGGATTAATGTCTATTAATACAGTATTATTACTTTGTAATTCATAAGGAGTAATAATGTTATAACATAAACATATTTGATGCTCTTTTATTCGCCCATAATAAAAATGTAAGTCACTCTCTGTCTCTCTCTCTCTCTCATTATCTGTTTGGATATATGTATGCGTACATATGTATACATATGGGCATAAAGCATTTAAGGTGAAGAAGAAGAAGAAGAAGAAGGAGGAGGAGGAGGAGGAGGAGGAAGAGGAGAAGGAGAAGGAGAAGAAGGAATAAACCAGTAGCTTATGTATTAATACAATGATAGATTAATTCTTTTTTTCAAAAAAAAGTAAATTCCCAATTGGAATGATTAAAATAAATTTATATTTTCAATGATTTAGTAGTTATGACAATTTTCCGTTTAAAGTCTCCATATATTTCGTGTTTGTTTGTTTTTTGCTCTCTTCAATTGTTGTTATCATTATTAATGGTGATGGGTTTCAACGGCGGTTTCTTTTATTATACACAACAACAATGGGAAAACAAATGTGTCTGCACTAAATTTTTTCTTGTTGTTGTTAAAGTGAACAATTTGATTACTGAAATATATAATCGCGGTAATAATGTATGATTTAAAGAATTAGTTAAATGTCTTAAAGTTTTTCTGAGAAAAAAAAAACTTTTGATTATACCTTTTGTGACTTGTGTACCTGTGTGTTTCTATGTATGTGTGCGTGTATTCATGTATGTATGTATATACGGTTGAATGTAAATAAAACCCTATAACATTGATATACTACTTAAATAGATATTATTGATATGATAGAGAATGGAACTTCATCAAAATGAAGTGAATTAATCTAATGTGAAATAAATAATACCCATAAAACAAAGATAATTAGAATAATTTAACATAAATATGTTCATTACTACTGATTAATATAACTTATATAATCGTATAGTAAACTGTTATCCTAAAAGAATTAAACTTGGACAAAATAAGAACAAGAAAAATTGAATAAAAAGAAAAGAAAAGAATGTATAATAAAAAGAAATATTTATTTATATACAGTGGGGGGTAGGGTGGTGGTGGTGGGGTAATGATTATAAATATAACAATCAAATCACAAATTCATTGGACCAATTCATATAAACAATTCAGTGAAGCATTAGAAGAAAAAAAAGTTGATTTTTTTTTTAAAGAAAAAAAGAGAAAAGCGAATCATCATCTACTCTATCATTTCTCTATCAACCCCACCCTTTCTCTCCTCTATATTAAACACTATTGAATAAATAAAAAAATAACTAATAATTTGTAAAAGATTTTACAAATGAAATGAAAATGTTTATTTGAAAAAAAACACAAAACAATTTGATTAATTCAATCTTTACCTTTTTCAGTTAGAAACAATATTCATCATTTGACAAAGATAAGTCAATGTAAGTGTATTATGCATATAGATTAAGATGTTTGTATTCTAAGATTCATTGAATTATGAAAATGATAAATAAAAGGTGATTCTTTTAAGAAAATCATAAATGCCAACTTGATCAAATGAAGCAAATAAAAACTGATTAGAAGAATGAATGATTTAAAATTTTATAGTTTATATCATAGACTAATCATAATTTTCGGAAGGGGGTTTTGTGGAGATTTTAGTAATTTTATTTAGTTGAAATCATGAGTCAATTGAAACTAGACCACCATGAAAAACCTGGAAACATTGGACGACCGTTCCATCCTATTGTGGGACTCCTCAGAAGTTCACACGCATGACCTCGCCTCGCGAGACTCAAACCCAGGACCTACCAGTCTCACGCTAGAGCATTTAGCCGATAGACCACCGAGCTGGCATCCGGTGGTATTTATGTGTAACTCCAACCAATCCATGAAGTTGAGCAACCGTTCACCAATTGTCTTCAGTGAGTTCCTATCTCCCAACAGACGTAGTTGAACTCCACTGGTCACTGCTTTTCACTAGAACTCCTGGATTTACCTCTCGAAGTCAGTCACTAGTAAGCATATGATTATTATTATCAGAAGGATTTTTTGTGGAGATTTAGTAGCGAGACTGGTAGATCCTGGGTTCGAATCTCATGAGGCGAGATCGTGGATGCTCACTGCTGAGGAGTCCCACAATAGGATGAAATGGCCGTTCAGTGCTTCCTGGTTTCCCCTGGTGGTCACGCTTTCAACTATGAAATTACTAAATCTTCACAAAAAAACCCTTTCTGATAATAATAATAAAAATAATAATATATTTGTAAAATCTCAGCGAAGTGAATTTGAAGTAAATCCAACATTTCGCCTGGGCAATCTATTCGCTATATCATCATTAAAAACACACACACACATAACTAGGAATGAAATTTGATCAAATTAAATCATTCGTCTTAGAAACTAATAAATGTCAAAATTTTCTAATACATTCGAAACCAACTGTTTGTTTATATTTTTTTTATAACATTATAAATAATACACCTATATGTTATATCTATTTATCAATGAAATAGAATGCAATACAATATGAACAAATTGTAAATACACCAAATCTATCTTAATTGACAATTATGAATCAATGATTACATAATAATATCTTAGACTTATTAACATTCTATTAGAAATTAGAATATAAACATGAAATATGATCGTTTTCCATGAAAGTTTCTATGATCTATTTTTTTTAAAATTTATTAATTCTAGAAAAACCAGATCATATATTGAAATGAAATTTTTATAGATTGTAGAAACAAACAAACAAACAAATGGACGAACAAGCTTATTGGTTAAATGAACACATACATATACACACACAAAAAAATTTAAGCACTAGGCAAATAAATACCATTAAAGGGGAAAGTATAATCTATGTGCGTAAGTGCGTGCATGTGTATGTATAATATATATAGGTGTGTGTGTTGTATATGTGTTGTACATGTTTATTCCCCTATAAATGAAAGTGTGATTATTTGTGTTTTATTGTTATCAAAAAATTTTATTTCAAAGTTTTTACTAT